GCTGGTATCAGGAAGTGACTGGCTGAGGCACTTCAGGGACTCAGTGTCACCCAGCCATCACGAGGACAGTGGGCAACACCAACCAGACCAACATTCATCTTATTGTGGCTCTGAGGCACTCTGACCTTGGGCCCTGTCTTTCCTCCTGTCTATACAAGCCTCTCCCACTTTACCTTCTTCTACCAACCCCAACCCTCAATCTGAGCTGCCCTTAGATGTGGCAGCGTCCAAGTGTCACATAGATATTTTCTGAGCAGCATCTGGTACCTGTAAGCGCCCCTGCCCCGCCCGTGCCAGGATCTGCAGAAGAAACACAGATGAACACCTACTAGTCACAGTGAACTTAATCTCGCTGACTCAGTTGTCTAGGCTATAAAATGGGGATTTTAGAAACACCCAACCTTGTAGAGCTTAGATGAGATACGGTACACAGCATCTAGTCAAACACCTGGTTCATAGGTAGCTGCTCATGAACTGTCACCTCTTTCCCCTGAATCCTGAAGACTTGGGAACCCATGATAAGGCATAAAACCTAAGTGACAACCAAGAAACAGAGAGGAAAACGCTACGGGAGTTCAAGGGAAACAGAGACTTCTTGGTAGAGGATCAAGCCTAAGAGACTTTGCAAGAGGGAGTCCCGGGAGAAAGGAGGGTCAGCAGGTGTGAACAAAAGCGCTAGGCTCCCGGACACACTTTCCAGGCCCTCGGGGACTGCATCCTTCAAACCACCGGCCAGGGCCCATCCCAGCTGTTCCTGAGCTCACCAGCAGGGGAGCCTCATGTCCACCCAAGACAGCCCTTCCCCTTCGCAGCTCCAGGAGTTGTCAGGAGCAGGAGCAGAAAGAGGACAGGTGGGCCTTTAGTTCCTTTCCTCTCCCTCCTCTCCCTAGGCCGGCCTACTCATCTTTTGGGGTGGGGTCTCTGGAGGGCAAGAGCATTAGAGAAGCAGAGAGAGGGCAGAAGAACTAGCCGAAAGAGAGAGGGTTGAGCCTCGCCCCCGTTTACACACACATGCATGCATTAGCTGCAGAGCTCACTGACCAGACTTGCGCTGCTCCCAGCAAATCTCATCCCTTCCCTTTCTTTGATGGAGGGAGGGAGGCTGAGGGTTCCCTTGCTCCAGAGACTAAAATAAAACAACAACAGCCAGGAGTAAAAAGAAGAAGGTGCCAACTAAGACGTGTCAGGGCCCATGGACCTGGCAAGCAGAGATGCCATGGGACAGCAGCTGACCCAGGCCCTCCCCCAGTCAATTAACCAACACAAACTTATCGACCCCTTCTCTGCCCCCAGCACCGTGCCAGGGCTGTGGGGAATCCACCCTCCTGCCCTGCCATGGCAGCATGAACAGATAGAATTGGGTCAGGTCCCCATGAAAAGAGTGAGCAACCGCAGGGCACACTGGGGCTGAGTGAAAGGTAGAGTTAGTGCCACTGGGTTTCGGGAGGACTTGCAGGGGAGGCAGGATCTAAGCTGGACCAGGAAGGATGGTCGAGCACAGAGGAGGGCAGTCTGGGAAGAAGGCAGCACAAGCAAGTGCACAGGGTTAAGAAGGATTTGAGTTGGGAGGAGCCAAGCACACAGGTGGGAGGGGCTTGGAGTGAGAGGGTCTGGAAGGTCCAATTGGGATGTACAGTGGAGGACAAACATTGAAGGCTTCGCGCTTGCTCCCCTAGGAGCCACTGAAGGTTTTTGAGCAGGCCAGTGACATGACAAGAACGGTGTTCCACGAAGATCGATCTGACAACTCTGTGAAGGATGGAGGCAAGGGACCAGTTAGGAGGCGATTGTAACAGTCTTGGCCGAGGGCAATGAGGGCCCCAAACAGGAGGTGCTGGGCACGGACGAAAGAGGTGGTTGTCAGGGGTGCTGTAAAGACGGATCAGCAAGATGCTGGCGACAGATGCCACGCAGAGGACAGGGAGGAGGGTGATTGCAAGGGTAAAGCAACCAGCCCAGACCTCTCCGGCTTCGTCATGGGAAAGAATAAAGTGGCCAGCTTTATGGCAAGATAAATGTTGATGTTCCTTTAATTCTTACAATAACTCCATGGGGTCGGCACTATTAATAGCCCTACTTACAAATGAGAAAACTGAAGCAAGAAAAGTGATTTAAGTTGCCTGGGGTCATGTTTTAAGTGGCTGAATCAGAATTCGAACTCTGGCAATTGGGATCTAGGGTCCCACCTGGGCTGAATAAATAAGCAAAGTGAAGGCTCTCTGGTCTATAAATTTTCATGTCCCAATTCGGAACACCTTAACTACTCTCTCCCTCCCCTGAAAAGCAGCAGTGTAAAGAAGTCAAGAGCATTGAAATTCCTTTTCATCTGTCCTGTGGGCCTTGTTGGGCCTAATCCTTGGAGTTCAAGTCTGGAGCCCAGAAAGGATCCTGTCTGGCATGGCGCAGCTCCATGGTGCCCAGCTCACCAGTGTTTCCCAGCCCCGGCCAGCCCCTGTCTCCCTCCCAATGGCAGGCTGATTCCCTCTTCCCATGGCCACTCCAGATGCCCCAGGCCCAGCCTGGCTGGAGTGGACACCAGCAGGGATTTAACTAAACCATCTGATTCCC